GTTTCCTGCCCAGCCGAGTCTGTCCAGCTGAGCCATCAGTGCCAGGAGGGCTAGTAGGCCAGCCAGCTGGAAAGAGGAAGTGGATAGCAAGTGTCTGGCCAGCGGAAGTGACTCCAGTGCCCCAGCCCCGGGAAAATGGGGTTTCAGGCAGGCCACAAGGGTGGGGCTAATTAAGTAATAAGTTTAGGGTATGCCTGGGTTGGAATTTGGCCACTTCACGTGGTCTCAGGCGCTGGGTTCTGGGACTCCTCATTTGTATTGGAGGGTTCTGAACAATCTCTATTGGACGGTCACTAGTCCAAGGCACAAATAGGTGTGGATGCGGCTTGAAGGAAGGGTGAGGGTCAGAATGGTGCTCCAGAGAGGAGAGACTAGGACCAGGCATGTTGAGTCCAAGTCAGGGGTCTTCCTGGGTGACTAAGCCCTGTCCCTGACTCTGGGCACTGGTCCTGCAGGTCGATCCTGCGAGTGGTGCTCCATCGATGGCAGTGTCGTGCTACCCCTGGCCCAAGGCTCCCCAAAGGCGCTGGCCCGGGAGCATGCCCTGTGCCTCACGGGCGATGGCTTGGCTCACCTGCAGGCCGAGGACCCCCAGCTGCTGCTGCGCCTCATCCCCCATGTGCAAGTGTTTGCCCGTGTGGCCCCCAAACAGAAGGTGAGTGTAGAGGTGGTAGGCGGGCGAGGCCCTAAAGTGGCACACAGCCTTCACTTGTTCTTTGCCCATGTAGGAGTTTGTTATCACCAGCCTGAAGGAGCTGGGCTACGTGACCCTCATGTGTGGCGACGGCACCAATGACGTGGGTGCCCTGAAGCACGCCGACGTGGGTGAGCTCCCCCACCCCCCGGCTTACTGTTCTGCCAGCCAGGGCTCAGCATAAAGGACACCTCCCCGAGCGTGGGGAGGCAGTGAGGGGTAGGGCGGGGCCAATAGGGTCAGGGATCCACGGGCAGAAGGACACAGTGTCTAAGGAACAATGTGGCTGAAGCCACCAGAGCCACGGAGAAAGTTTGGGGAGCCAGGGAAGCTCTGTGAGAGAACCCGGGGACCCTTTGGTCCGCAGGCTGACACTCTGTCCATTGAGCCAAACTGGCTAGGGCTTGTTTTTATTTTTTAAGTCGTTATAGAAAGTAAGATAAAATGCTCTCTGAGGGTACTCCTTGGGGGGGTCCAGTGAAATGGGAGGTTTGGCTCTGCGGCCCATGGCTCCATCTAGGCACTGAGCTGACACTCACTCTGGCTTGGGGCCAGTGGGCTCCCCTGGATCTGACACACACATATCCTTCCCTTTCCCCCACCCCAGGTGTGGCACTCCTGGCCAATGCCCCAGAGCGGGTTGTCGAGCGGAAGCGGCGGCCCCGTGACAGCCCTGTCCTGAGCAACAGCGGTGTCAGGGTCACCTCCAGGGCATCCAAGCAGAGGTTGGGGCTCCCACCCCCAGAGGAGCAGTCCACCTCCCAGAGGGTGAGTCTTGGGAGGGGGGCGCCGGCACCCCCTTGTGTCCAGGTCTCACCCACCGCCACCCACCCCACAGGACCGCCTGAGCCAGGTGCTGCGGGACCTCGAGGATGAGAGCACGCCCATCGTGAAGCTGGGGGATGCCAGCATCGCGGCGCCCTTCACCTCCAAGCTCTCATCCATTCAGTGCAGTGAGTCCTGCCACCTGCCCCGTCCCCTACCAGCCCTGCCTGGCGCCCATGCCCATGCCTGCATGCACCCATGCTCACACCTACCTCCCCCAATCCATGCAGTCTGCCACGTGATCAAGCAGGGCCGATGCACACTCGTGACCACGCTGCAGATGTTCAAGATCCTGGCACTCAATGCCCTCATCCTGGCCTACAGTCAGAGTGTCCTCTACCTGGAGGGCGTCAAGTTCAGCGACTTCCAGGCCACACTACAGGGGCTGCTGCTGGCTGGCTGCTTCCTCTTCATCTCCCGCTCCAAGGTGGGCTGAGACCCCAGGCAAAGCAATGGCTCCCGCCGTACCCACAGGCACCTCCGCCCTGGAGGTGCTGAGAGGCTTCCGTGATGCACGGCAAGGAACACTTGGGCCTGTCAGAGGTGCTTCCGGACGGATGTCATCTTTTCTTCCTCACAGCAGCCCTCAAGGGGAAGCTGTCATCCCCGTGTTACAGATGGGGAGTGGGAGAAGGGGGCGAGCCCACTGAGCTCTTCCCAGTAGCACAGCTCGGGCCCCAGCACTGTCCACAGGCAAGCAGGGCTCTGGAGGCGAGTGCCAACCCATGGCCCCAGGATGCGGTGACTGCTCTCTGCACCAGGCCTGCAGGAGGCATGGTGGTTGGGTGGGTGGCCCAGGGCACTCTGGGCTTGACACTCACCATGTATTCAACCCCCAATACTGCAGCCCCTCAAGACCCTATCCCGGGAGCGGCCCCTGCCCAACATCTTCAACCTGTACACCATCCTCACGGTCCTGCTCCAGTTCTGCGTGCACTTCCTAAGTCTTATCTACCTATACAGCGAGGCCCAGGCCCGAAGCCCTGAAAAGTGAGTGCCGCCCTAGTAGTGGGAGTACAGGGCACCCACAGGAGGCAGTGTCCCTGTGGTGGGAGGTGGAAGGAGGATGCAGATGCAGGTGCAGACGTTGGCCTGGGGCAACCAGGACCAGGCAGAGAGCCCTGGTTATGTGCAGGGGCAGTGGGAGCCACAGAACGGCCCTCACCCCCGTGCATCCTGCAGGCAGGAACAGTTTGTGGACCTGTATAAGGAGTTTGAGCCAACCCTGGTCAACAGCACTGTGTACATCATGGCCATGGCCATGCAAATGGCCACCTTTGCCATCAACTACAAGGTGAGCTCCAGCCCTAACCCAAGCATGCCCTCCCCACCCCACCCCCACCCCCACAACACACACTGTTCCTCTCTCTGTCCGCACAGGGCCCGCCCTTCATGGAGAGCCTGCCTGAGAACAAGCCTCTGGTGTGGAGCCTGGCTGTGTCACTCCTGGCTATTGTGGGCTTGCTCCTCGGTTCCTCGCCTGACTTCAACAGCCAGTTTGGGCTTGTGGACATCCCCATGGAGGTGAGTATCCCTGTGGGTGTGGCCCCAGGACTTGACCTGGGCCCATCGGCAGGCATCCAGCTCATCATCGCTCCCTCCCCTGCAGTTCAAGCTGGTCATCGCCCAGGTCCTGATCCTTGACTTCTGCCTGGCACTCCTGGCCGACCGCGTCCTGCAGTTCTTCCTGGGGACCCCGAAGCTGAAAGTGCCTTCCTGAGACAGCAGCTACCACCCTGCTACCACGGGGCAGGGACCCCATGTGGGCCCCAGGAGGGAACACTGCCCCCCACGGCAAGGCCAGAGCAGCCTTGCCCATTAAGACTGAGTTGGGGCCGCCCCTCTCACCCCCCCCACATGGCCGTCCTTGGGCCTGGCTGGCAGAACCAGCCCCCAGCCAGCACCTTTGGTAAATAAAGCAGCATCCACAATTTTAAGAACCCCTGCCTTCACCTCTGCCTGTACCACACAAGGGGTCGCTGGGAGGCTGGGTGTTCTCCGAGGAAGGTCCTGGCACCCGCCCAGAGGGCTGTGTGAGGTTAAGGACACCCTCTGCAGCAGTCGGGGCTTGGGTAGGCCGAGCTTCCAGCTCAGAGCTCTGCATATTCCCTGGTTTAATAAGCACCCCCGTATGTCAGCTTCATATTTTCACACCTCAGGCACTGGGGGAGGCTTAGGATCTATGGCTTTTTCCCCTTTTCAGTTATATGCAAAATGGCAGCATGCCTTCTCTGCATGGTGTCTTATATGTGAGGAAGTTCAATCCACACCATTAGAATGCTGACTCAGGCTGGGGTCCTGAGGCATCTGGGTGCTGTTGCCATTTCAGTCACAGCCAGACTGACCCAGCAGCCTGGCTCTGACCTTACAATGACTGTCCTTCCTTTCAAAGGGCGCTCAATGCAATCGGCAATGTCAGGGCAGGCAGCACGAGAGCAACCGGTTGGAGATAACAGCGAAAAACTTTAGGAAGCAAAGTTATAAACATGAAGTCTAATTACAGCCAGAAATTCCACTGAGTGAAGAGTGGGTGCATTTTTATAACAGAAGCTGCTTGTGACCACCGCAGGCGAGGGGACCCAGACTCACACTTCTGGGCCGCCTGCCCACCGATGCTAATTGGGGAACTCAGTCCTTTCCTGCCCTCGGTCATCCTCGGTAGCCCACCCCCGTCTGCTTCCCCAGTGAGTGGAGTGTAGCCTGCAGGCCTTGGGAGGCCTTGGGAAGCAGCAGGGACCAGCCATGGATACCTGTGAGCATCATGAGCACTGGCTGGCCAAGGTCCGGGGGTGGGGTTGGCCCCAGACCGCAGCCTGCAGAGGGTTGCTGTGGTCATGTGGAATGTAGAGGGAGGCCAGATCCCTGCGACAACTTGAGGCGACTCAGGAGAGCAGTCTGGAATTGGGTTTGCCAGGGATGATTGGGGGCTCGGGAGGGTTTCTGTGCCATCCTCATCACTACCCCATCCCACCCCGGGCCTGAAAAGAACTGAGGGCTACGCTGTAATTGGCCCTCAAGAGCCTGATCTAGCTTTGAGGGTCACTGGGAGTCCCCCAGGCCAGGAGTTTCTGGGCACAAAGTGTTAGGTGACTTCTGATTCGCCTGTAATTGGGCAGGACTGCGGGCCTCCACAAGGGGCTCCATGTCTCTAGTCCGGCTGGACGGGTTCGGGGGTCCACGGAGCCCTGAGCAGGATGTCACTGGGTGTGTGCAAGGGTCGAAGACCGGTGGACTCGGGTCACTCCTGGGGGAGTGTGCTGGCGCTTTGGGACCTCGCAAAGATCTGAGAAGGAGAACCCTGGCCAGGATGGAGTCCTGGAGTGCCCAGGTGTGGGGTGGCCGCCCAGGAGGCACTGGCCTTACAGCATCTCTGCCCTTGAGCAGGGAGCTCCTTCAGCGCTTCCGAGCCTGGGGGCGTGGCCTCGGGCAAGGGCGTGTTTAGCTTAATAAAGTGGGGGCGTGGCCTCGGGCAAGGGCGTGTTTAGCTTGATAAAGTGGGGGCGTGGCCTGCCATGGGGCGGGGAGACGCGGAAGCTGGTGGTAGCCCGAGCAGAAAATCTGGGCTAGGCCCAGCCGGCGGTTCCATCATCTCAGTCCCTGTCCCCACCGAGCAACCCGTAGGCCATGGACGCAGCAGAGCCGGGTAGGCGGTCCGGGATACGGGATCAAGAGGGGCATCAGCCATACTCGCTTCCTAAACTGAGGGCCTATGGTTGTCCCTCTCTGTCCTAGAGCAGGGGAAGGAGTTCCTGAATGGGGAGGACGCCGGGGATCCTCCATTGTGGGCACCGTCCCCCCCCAAGCCGAGAGGAGCCCGGGACACCAGTCCCTGACCCCCTCCCCCTTGGAGTCTTCACCCCGGATGCCTGGTTGAAGGGGCCCAGGAAGGGGAAGTGGCTGCTTCTGCTTTTGATATTTGTGATGGGGGCAGGGTGCAACAACCGTGGATGGAGAGGGGAGAGGGCGACAGCGCAGCAGGATCCACACCTGCTGCTCCGCAGCCCAGGGAGGAGCAACGCTGATGGGGCCCCCAGAAGAAGGGCGGGAGAAGCTGTTGCAGAAATGTAGCAAGTTTCCACTTGTTTGGGGGGCTGTCGTTTGTGTCTCTCTGTGCATGTTGAGTGTCAGTCATCAGTCTTCATGGCCCGATGGTTCGGTCTGCCAGTGTTTCTGCCACAGCTCTCTGCCTGTCTGTCCCATGTGTATTTCCATCTGTCTGGCCTGAGTTCCATGTGGCTCCATTGCCAGGCTGGCTCTCGCCCCTGGGGACAGTGTGACTGCATCTGGGGCATCTGTTTTGTCTCTTTGCCTCTGAGCCCGTGTGTTTGTGGCTGTCTCTGCTCTCTGTGTTGGGCTGTGCCTGAGTCCATCTGCCTGGCAAAGTCAGCCCCACCCACCCAAGCCCACCCTCCCTCCATTCCAACTCAGACACCCACCCCATCCCACACTCCCTACAGAACCAGAACTTTCTGTCTTGCTCCTCTTTCTTTCTCTCTCCCCACCTCCAAACAGCCAGCCGAGGTGCTGTGGACTGAAGGAGGCTTCGTGTACCCATACATGACCCCCGCTTTCAGGGCTTCCCCCGGCTCCTGAGAGCAGGAAGAGGTACAGTGACATCTTTCGGAGCCTGGACAACCTTGAAATTTCGCTGGGGAACGCGTGAGTCTCAGACTGGGTCGCCCCCAAATCCTGCCAAAATCTCCAAAACACCCAAAATTCACCCCCCCAAAATCCACTGGAAATCCCTATAGTGGTCCTAGAACCCCCACATATCCTCTGGTGACCCCTTAAAACATTTGAGACCCCTATAATCCCACTCTCTGAATCCCAAAGTTACCTGTAACCTGTCAAACTCTGTCTCCTGTCTCATAAAAAAGCTCACCTGGTTGTCCCCCAAAACCCCATCCCTTAGACCTCCCAGATACAAGAGATGTCACTGAGGTGGTATCAGGACCATCTGCCAAAATTCCCTGGGACCCTCAGCACCCTGAGCAGGACAGCCTGGGTGGAGGGTGGTATCCTGATACCCTTACCTCCCAGGACCCTTGAGATGCTGGCTGGAGACCCTATACTTTCAGGAGACCCAGAGCCTGACAAGACCCTCACGGCCACTGTGGTGAGAGGTGGAGCCAAGGGGGCAGGAAGGAGGGCCTCCAGGAGGAGGGGCTTTAAGGAGGGGTCCCCTGCCCTGCATGTTCCTGAATGCTGTCTTCCTCCCCCTCAGACCAGTGAAACCAGCCATTGGAGTGGCCCCTCCCCAGAGGGTCCTGCACCCCTTACAGGTAAGGGGGTTTGAAGCCAGGAGGTGGGGGCAGAAAGTTCTTCCCTTAAGTCAGCGGTTCTCAACCTGTGGGTCGCGACCCCTTTGGAAGTTGAACGACCCTTTCACAGGGGTCGCCTAAGACCATCGGAAAACACATATATAATTACATATTGTTTTTGTGATGAATCACTATGCTTTAATTATGTTCAATGTGTAACAATGAAAATACATCCTGCAGATCAGATATTTACATGACGATTCATAACAGTAGCAAGATTACAGTTATGAAGTAGCAACGAAAATAATTTATGGTTGGGGGTCACCTCAACATGAGGAACTGTTTTAAAGGGTCGCAGCATTAGGAAGGTTGAGAACCACTCTCTTAAGTCATCACCGACTGCCTGTCCTGTGCACCCGGGACACTGCAGTGCACAGAGCGGATGTGAGCCCCTGCCCTCAGGGAGCCCCAGTCTGGGTGGAGAATCCGCATAAAATTGCAAGTCACTGTAAAGGGCATTTTGGGGAGTCATAGGGTGTAGAATAAAGGTCACTGGTCAGGTCTAGAGGCTCCAATGAGGTTAGGGTTTCAAGGGATTTTAGGATTCAGAGGTCAGAGGTCCACCTGTCTGCCCCAGGGGAGGAACTGGACTTGCGGCTCATTCGGACCAAGGGTGGTGTGGACGCAGCCCTGGAGTATGCCAAGACCTGGAGCCGCTATGCGAAGGAGCTGCTAGCCTGGACCGAGAAGAGAGCCAGCCTTGGTGAGGGTCCTTCCACCGGCCCCAGGCTCCAGGCAGCTCCCCCTCCCTGCCCAGCTCAGACCCTTGCTGTCTCCCCCCAGAGCTAGATTTTACCAAAAGCATTATGAAGATCGCGGAGGCTGGCAAGGTGTCAATCCACCAGCAGGTAACCATGACCAGCCCCCCTCCCCCCCAGAGCCCAAACCCTTTGGAAAGAACCACAGCCCAACCCCACCCCTAGATCCTCAGCATCTTCCACCCCCACCCCAGAGCCACATGCCCCTGCAGTACATCTACACCCTGTTTCTGGAGCACGACCTCAGCCTGGGAGCCCTGGCCATGGAGACAGTGGCCCAGCAGAAAAGAGACTACTACCAGGTGAGGGAGCCATGCTGCCCACGACCATTCCGTTCACTCCACCCAGCGTCAGAGCTCTTTTGCTGATGAGGATGCTAAGGCCCATGCATGCTGAGGAACTTGACCAAGGTTACCCAGCAGAGATTCAAACCAGGCTTCCTGTGCAATTGCAAAACTGCATTTGTTTGTTGGTGGGGCGCAAGGTGAGGTGCTGAGTGTTCCCAGGAAGAGTCTCTTGGCATCTCTGGATCAAGGCAGAAAGGATGAAGTGACCACTAAGACTTCTTATTGGGACACGGAGTGGGGGTGACGGTGTCACCGGGGGGTGGCTGGTCAGGGTCACCCTGGGGGCAGGACCCCGCAGGAGTGGGACCTAGGCAGAGGTACATTCAGGGTCTGAGGCAGGGACTGGCTCTCCGTGGAGATGGAGTGAGTCCTGGTACCCTGGGTGAGAAGACCCTCTGGGAGACTGCAGACCCTGAAAAGGATCCAGAGGGTGACAGGCACCTGGCCTCAGGGAACGGAAGGACCAGTGGCCCTGAGGCAGCATCCCCGTCCCCCATCATTGCCAGCCCCTGGCCGCCAAACGGACTGAGATTGAGAAGTGGCGGAAGGAGTTCAAGGAGCAGTGGATGAAAGAGCAGAAGCGGATGGTGAGGCCCGGGTGGGTGAGGATGAGCTAGGGGAGGGGAGGACGGGGCACTGACTGTGCTCCTGCCCTTCCCCCAGAACGAAGCGGTGCAGGCACTGCGGAGAGCCCAGCTCCATTACCTGCATCGCAGCGAGGACCTGCAGGTGCGCGCCCAGGCATCCTCGGAGGACCCAGCCCCCCAGGCCTCACCGGGACACAGCAAACAGCAAGAGCGGCGGCGGCGCTCCCGAGAGGAGGCCCAGGCCAAGGTGGTGACCCTGCCCCTCGGCCCCCTAGTGCTTCGGTGCTCCCCACCCCATGCTGTCTCCCACCTGTACCCCCGGCCTTGCTTTCTCCAGGTGCAGGAGGCAGAGGCGTTGTACCAGGCCTGCGTCCGTGAGGCCAATGCGAGGCAGCAGGACTTAGAGGCCACCAAACAGCGAATCGTGTCACACATACGCAAGCTGGTGCTGCAGGGGGACGAAGTGATGAGGCGGGTGAGACCCTACCCCAAGCCGAGCGCCCCTCCCTCCTGGCATCTCTGGATCCAGGCAGAAAGGATGAAGTGACCACTAAGTCTTCTTGTTGGGACACGGAGTGGGAGTGACGGTGTCACCAGGGGGTGGCTGGTCAGATCCTAAACTGTCTCCAGGGTACCAGGACTCACTCATCTCCATGATGGCCAGTCCCTGCCTCACACCCTTGATGTACCTCTGCCTAGGTCCCACTCCTATGGGGTCCTGCTCCCAGGATGACCCTGACCGGCCACCACCCCCCGGTGACACCCTCATCCCTAGGCTGCTTCCCACTGTCTGACTCCACGCCCCCTCTCATGTGTGGTCTCCGTGGTCTCCACCTGGCAGGTGACTCTGGGACTGTTCCGGCTTCGAGGGGCGCAAGCAGAGCGTGGTCCCCGCGCCTTTACCGCCCTGGCCGAGTGCTGCGCGCCCTTCGAGCCTGGCCAGCGCTACCAGGAGTTCGTGCGGACACTGCAGCCAGAGGCCCCGCCACCCCCACCACCTGCCTTCTCTTTCCAGGAGTTTGTTCCTACCCCGCACAGGTGGGCCCCTAGGAGCAGAGTCAGGAAGGAGCCCCAGACATGGGGCGGGCTGTTGGCGTCTTGGGCTGAGAACTTGGGGTCAAAGAACTCAAAGCCTCAGCACTTGGATTTAGTACCCAAGGCTCTCTCTCATCCGGGAAGCGGGGGTTGTCCCAGTCCTGGGAGGGTCGGGACTTTAAGATCGCTGCACTGGCCACATGCTCATACACCTCAGGGCTTGCAGACCCAAGTACTTGGAGTTGGATGCACGATGCGGAGCCTGGGTGCTATCGCCTTGGCCAGTGTCCTGGTTCTCAGAGCCCTCAAACCTGTCCTCTCAGCTCCCCTCTAGACACAAAGAAAAAGCTCTCCGGCCCCCCACCTCCTCGGTTGGATGAGAGTGCAGCTGAGCCAGGCCCTGGGGAGGACACAGGCGCCGGCTGGCAGGGTGAGTGCAGTGAGGGTTGGGAGGAGTGGTGCTGGGGAGGGTCGTCCTCATTGACCTCTTCCCTCCTAGGGACTCCGGGCCCCACTCCAGGCAGCGACGTGGACAGCGTGGGCGGTAGCAGCGAGTCTCGATCCCTGGACTCTCCCACTTCCAGCCCAGGTGGGGCCAGGACCTGGCCCTGACCCACTCCTAACTCTGACCCTCCTCCAGCCCTGGCCAGGCTCTGACCTTTAATCTTTAACCTACCCTTTGACCTTTAACCTACCCACACTCCTGACCTATTTCTTCAGCCTCTGACCTATCTGACCCCCCACGTACACACCTTCAACCCTTTCCCCAAGGATATCTGTGGGTGGTTCTGAAAGGCCTGAAAACTAGGAAAGTCTGCTTAGCTTTGGAACTTCCCCATGACCCCTATGACCCCAACCTCTGGGACCCTCTGACTCCAGGCCCTGGTACGAGGCGGCTGGTGAAGGTCTCATCCACAGGCACTGAGTCTTCAGATGACTTTGAGGAGCGAGACCCTGGTAAGGCTGGAAGCAGGTGGGGCAGGACGGGGGCAGGGATAGACCAGGCCCCCCTCACCCTACTTTCCCACAGACCTGGGAGATGGGCTTGAGAACGGGTCCGGCAGCCCCTTCAGGAAGTGGACGCTCTCCAACGCAGCCCAGACTCACCGGCTGCGGCGACTGAGGGGCCCAGCCAAGTGCCGCGAGTGTGAGGCCTTCATGGTCAGCGGGACCGAATGTGAGGAGGTGTGGCCCGGGCCGATGACCCAGTGCTCTCTGCTGACCCCACTGACCTCCCGGAGCCCCAGGCACCTCCATGACCTGATATTCCTGTGACCTTCCTGCCCCTGGACCAGCCCTGATCGAATGATTGCCATGAGCTTCCCGTTCCCTAAGGATCCTCCCAACCTTCACTTCTGCTTACCCCCTATGACCTCCCTGACCTTTTTTTTAGGAAACTGTTCTTTATTTATGCAAAACATTTTCTAAATTAATTTTTATTTGCTACCAATGAATTTGCTCCCACCCCCACCCCCAGTGCTTTCTGACCTGCCACAAGCGCTGCCTTGAGACTCTGCTGATCCTCTGTGGACACAGGCGGCTCCCAGCCCGGACACCCCTCTTCGGGGTCAACTTCCTGCAGCTGCCCAGGGACTTCCCGGAGGAGGTGCCCTTTGTCGTCACCAAGTGCACGGCTGAGATAGAACAGCGCGCTCTGGGTGTGCAGGTGCTACGTTGACCCTTGACCTTTGACCATCCCCAGCAATGGCCTGGCCCTCTCCATGGCTGGATTACTACCCAGGTGTTTATTTCCCACCCTACCCTACAGGGCATTTATCGGGTCAGCGGGTCCCGAATCCGTGTAGAACGGCTGTGTCAGGCTTTCGAGAATGGCCGAGCGTTGGTGGACCTGTCTGGGAACTCACCTCATGATGTCTCAACTGTGCTCAAGCGATTCCTCCAGGAGGTGGGTGCTCAGGGGACAGGGCAGGGCCAGCTGGGCAGGCTGAGGCTAAGGACCCTCTGCAGCCTACCCACACCCATGTTCCCTCTGCCATTCCACCCCCAGCTCACTGACCCCGTGGTCCCCTCCCACTTCTACGATGCCTTCATCTCTCTGGCTAAAACCCTGCATGCAAACCCCGGGCACGACTCTGAGACCCCAAGTCCCAGTCCTGAGGTTATTCGCTTGCTGAAGACCCTCTTGGTGCAGCTGCCTGACTCTAACTACAACACCCTGCGGCATCTGGTGGCTCATCTGTTCAGGTGTGCACTGTCCCTGACCTTGAAGTGGATCTGTGACTACTGGACATGTGACTACTGACCCCTGACACTGACCTCTGACCTTTGCATGTATTTTCTAAGCTCTGAGCCTTAATACATGACTTCTGACTTTCGGTGCCTACTCCTGCACCCCTTAGCTGGGCATAGAGCTGCTGGTCTCCAACTATGACCAGGGCACTGACCGTGACTTGGGCAAGTCACCACTAGTCCGGCCTCCAGGTCCCACCTGATAAGTGACGACTGTGCACTCTGTGCCTTTCCTTCTCCTCACCCCAGGGTGGCTGCACAGTTTGAGGAAAACAAGATGTCTGCCAACAACTTGGGCATTGTGTTTGGACCCACGCTGCTGCGGCCACCGGACGATCCTGGGGCAGCTGCCACCGGCTCTGTTACCTGCCTCCTGGACTTCGGGCACCAGGCCCAGCTTGTCGAGTTCCTCATAGTGCACTATGAGCAGATCTTTGGGATGGACGAGCTCCCCCTGGCCACTGAGCTCCCACCTCAAGACCCCAGCTCAGGCCCTGGGACCCTCACAACCTGCCCCCAGCCAGCACCCCCATACCTTGCCCCAGATCCCCTGCCCCCAACCTTACCCTCAGATTCAGACCCAGACCCTGAGCCCCACAGTGCCCTGGAGAAGCAGCCCGAGGTCATGCCCTCTGAGGTAGGAACCAGCTGGGCCCACAGACATGGGGAGGGTCCTTTCTCCATTTCATCTTCTCATTCGCTCTCTCTCCTCCTTTCCTTTCCCTTTAAAATGTTCTCTTTCACTCCTTCCTTATGTACCCTGTGCTCATTCTAGAAGGAGAAGTGAGGAGTGGAATTGGGGAGGGGAGGGAGCGTTAATAATGGAGTGACAACAGGATACAGCCCTGCAGAGGGTGATCATTCATCCCTTCAACAGAATACTTATTTAACACCTACTGTGTGCCAAGCAGTGCTTTTGGCATTACATATACATCAGTGAGCAGAATATTCAAAGACCCTATTCTCTTGGTGCCTGCATTCTCATGGGTAAGCAACCAGCAATAAACAAGAAATATGATACAGAGTTAGTTATATAGGATGTTACATGGTGACAAGTACTATAGAGGAAAGAAAGAGTAGCATAAGGTAAGGGATATCAGGGACAGGAGGTGAGAGGTGATGGACAGTTTGTAGCAGTAAGTAGGATGGTGTGGGCAGGTCTCTTGGAGAAGGTGGATTTGAACAAAGACTGGGAGGTTGTGAAGGAGAAATAAGCCAGGGAAGGGCAGGGTAAGTGCGTTCCAGGCAAAGGGAATGGCCAATGCAAAGGCCCTGAGGTGGGAGCATGCCTGGTGTGTTCAAGGCACAGCTCCATGGTGTAATGAATGAAGGGAAGGCGAGGCCAAAGAGGTCACCTACTATGCGTGAGCACTTTACAGGCTTCCTGTCATTCTCGCCACAGCCCCGAGCGGTAGATACTGTTAGTGAAAACCATTTACAGAGGAGACCCCTTGGGAGGTTTCCTGGTCCCTCGGGTTCTGCTACACCTGCCACTCCTGAGCGTGCAGACCTCCTCCACTGCAGTCCCTAGGGTTGCTGGTAAGCGGTAGGACTCTGAGAGCTGGAATGACTCAAAGTGTTCAGGACGGTTCTGACTCATAGAAAGAACTCCGGCTGCTATTAGCATTCAGCTAAAGGCAGAACAGAGAGACTATACAGCTAACTGGGCATAAGATTGCAGAGAACAGAACAGGAAGGAGCGTCACCTCATCCTAGTGTGGAGATGAGTAAGTCACAGCCTGGTTGGCTTCTGCTGAACCCGGGCGGCCCAGCCCTCAGAGCCCACAGTGGAGACCAGTAACATTGCTCTGCACAGCAGGACAGTTAAGGGCACCACATCTTCCCAGACACCAAAACTACAAAGGAACTTGCATGTCCAGGAACAAACTCTCGGTTCTCCAAGAGTCGCAGAGAACTGGGATTTTATTGTGGGGGTCTTGGTCTTGGGTTTCTCCCTACAGATTCTAACTCCACAGAGTGACCAGAGAGAGGAAGTGGCCCAAGACACCAAAGAGGAGAGAGGGGAAGGTGAGTGTGTTGGGAGTAAACCGGGAGTTCTGGGGGTACCCTGCCCGGGTAGCTCGGCAGAGAGATGACTCCCGGGAGGGATGTCCAGAGGCCGAGTGATGCTCAGCAGTGACCACCCCATTCCACAGTGTCCAGCCAAGGCCCCGAGGACTCACTCCTGGGGACACAGTCCCGTGGCTACTTCAGCCGCCAGCCAGTGAAGTATCACCGGGGAGGCGTGCGGCCTGTCACCCACCAGCTGTCCAGCCTGGCCCTGGTGGCTTTCAAAATTGACGAGGAGACTCCTGTCACATCAGGGCCTCAAGGGAGCTTGCGGGGGAGGGGACCGGGCCCTGCTGCAGCCTCCCCTGAGGGCAATCCACCACGCCGCACCCCACTGCCCAAGCACTTTGAGATCACCCAGGAGACAGCTCGGCTGCTCTCCAAGCTGCACAGAGAGGAGGTGCCCACGGCCACCTGCTGCCCGGACCTTCCGCCTGAGGATGAGGAAGTCGAGCGTCTCTGACCAGCTCAGCCCTCTGACCAAGTGGCCCAGGACTGAGGACATAGACTCACTTCTCCCCAGGAGTTCAATGTTGGGGGATCAGGAGAGTTCCTATAAGGAAAAACTACAGGCCTGGGGGAAGACTAAAACCCTTTTGGGGACAGTGTACCAGGATCCCCCCACGAGACACGGGTTACTGCCAAGCATCAGGGCCACTCAGGTTCAGAGGTCACTCAGGGTCAATACTCAGGTCCAATACAGGTCACAGGATCCTTGGGGTCCGCCCTAGTCTCTGACCCCTTGGACAGGGGTACCGTTGGCTACTTTGGTCGTGGCCACTTCCCCACCTCAGCCCACCTCCTTCGCTGACCCCAAGTGACCTGCTTCTGGAGTGGGGGGAGTGACAGCCAGATACATCCCGGCCGGCCGGTCGGTCGGTCGGTCGGTCGTGCCTGGGGTCTGACGGCCCCTGAATAAACTGTGTCCTTATGCCCGTCAGTGTCTTTCTTTGCCAGGTGAGGGCAGCAGCCTTTGGCCCCGTTTTACCACCAGGGAAACCAAGGCCGCCTTTCTTTGGGCACCGATAGGCGGTCAGGCTGGACGGGGCACCGAGCTGACTCATGCCACCCGGCCCTGCGGGAGCTCCCGGCCCGTCCTGCATAACCAAATATAACAAAGTGAAGATAACCCGGACAATGGAGCTGTGTGCTCTGGGCCGGGCTGCGGGAGCCCAGGGCCCGGGCAGGGGGCAGCGCCGCCGGGGCGGGGAGGCGCGGGGGCGGCACTTCGAGAACCAGCGCGGCGGGACCGGACCGCCAGCCGAGGAGGTCGGCAGAGTGCGGGGGCCGCGGCGCGGGCATCTCCAGCCGGGAGCCCGCGGTGGGGCGGGGGTCCGGGCGGTGGGCCCGGGCGGATCAGGGCGGGGCCTGGAGCTCGGCGGCGGATTGGACGCGAGGGAGCGGGGCTGGGCCGGGCCGGGGTGCGGACCCTGGGACCCCCGGAGCCGAGCCCGGGCGGCGCGAGGTCACGGCGGGAGTTCTCCAGCCGCGAGTGACTCAGCCGCCCCGAGGCCCGAAACTGCGGGCGCGCGAGGTGTGCGGGGACGGGCGGGGGTCCCGCGCCGGAAGTGGAGAGGGGCCGCGAGGCGGGAGGAAATGGGGGACCGCGGTTCCGGACGACCCTGTGCTCCGCGCGCGGCGGGGGCGGGGCGGGGCGCCCCCAGGGGCGGGGGCGGGGCGCCGGGCTGGGCCGGGACCGGCTGGGACAGGACCGGGAGGGCGGCACCGCCTCCCGCGCCGTGTGCCGCCCGCGCTGAGCGCACTCACACTTGCGCTCCCTGCGCGCTCGCTGGGCCATGGGTGCCCGGCCCGGCCCTCCGTGCTGCGCGGCCGCCCGGTCTGCGGCGTGAAGGACCGCCCAGGTGAGGCCGGCACGGACGGGGCGGGTGGGCCGGGCCCCCGGGAGGGTGTGGCGCCTGCCCGCGGGGCCCAGGTGCCGCCCTCCTCCCCTCGCCCTCCTCCCAGCCTGGGCGCTCGAAAGCCCCGCCGGCTGCGCCCTTCGCGGAGGCCACCGGAGCCCGCGTCCCCCGAGCGGCCTGACCCCGCCCGCACCGGCAGCGCGCTCGTCCGAAGCCCGTCGCCCAACTCCCGGGCTGTCCGCTCGGCCCCCGTCACCTCCAGGCCCAGCACCACCGCCTGCGGGGCCCCAGCAGAGGCCCCACCGCGCGCACATGCCCCTGAGCTCTGCTCTCTGCAGCGACCCCGACACTGAGCTTCCCTCCCTCCCTCCCTCCCCGCTCACACCCCTTTGTCCTGCCCTAACCCAGCCTCCCGACCAGAGCAGACTGGACCCAGACTGCTGGAACTAAGCTGATGGATTTTGTTTGTTCCTTTAGGTTACAAAACAGAACCAACTGGGGGGCGGGCGGGAGACAAACAAACAAACAAACCCAGCCAGTTGTTTGATTTGGGAGGTAACTTCTGTAAGAGCCTTTTTCTTTCTTTTTCTTTTTTCTGTTAACTCTCACCCGAGGATATTTTTTCAAGAGTGTAAGGGAGGGAGAGAGAGAGAGAGAGAAACATTGATGAGACAGTCAGTTGGCTGCCTCTGGCTCACACTCTGACCAGGGATCGAGCCTGCACCCTCGGTGCGGACCCTTGACCAGAATCAAACCCGGGACCCTTCAGTCCACAGGCCGACGCTCTATCCAGTGGGCTAAGCCAGCTAAGGCTGTGAGAGTCTTATTTGTAAATGAGCAACAGCTGTCCCACCAGCACCCCATAACCCACGGAGCTTGCTTTTCTAGGTCACTCTGGTCCCCCAAACACCACTTTGCCCTGAGGCCTTTGAGTTTGAGAGCTTTGGCCTTCTTGTCCTGATCCTGCCCTCTGTACTGCTCCTTTCTGCATCCTTCCACCACTTGCCGTAGCATTGACCTTTTCCTCTGCCCCCAGGTGGTCACCATGGCCCAGTGCTACTACAACGAGACCATCGGCTTCTTCTACAACAACAGTGGCAAGGAGCTGAGCTCCCACTGGCGGCCGAAGGACGTGGTGGTGGTGGCCCTGGGCCTGACGGTCAGCGTGCTGGTGCTGCTGACCAACCTGCTGATCATCGCGGCCATCGCCTCGAACCGTCGTTTCCACCAGCCCATTTACTACCTGCTTGGCAACCTGGCCGCCGCTGACCTCTTTGCCGGCGTGGCCTACCTCTTCCTCATGTTTCACACTGGCCCGCGCACAGCCCGGCTCTCGCTCCAGGGCTGGTTCGTGCGGCAGGGTCTGCTGGACACCAGCCTGACGGCCTCGGTGGCCACGCTGCTGGCCATCGCCGTGGAGCGGCACCGCAGCGTGATGGCCGTGCAGCTGCACAGCCGCCTGCCGCGTGGCCGCGTCGTCATGCTCATTGTGGGCGTGTGGGCGGCTGCGCTGGGCCTGGGGCTGCTGCCCGCCCACTCCTGGCACTGCCTCTGTGCCCTGGACAGATGCTCACGCATGGCCCCCCTGCTCAGCCGCTCCTACCTGGCGGTCTGGGCCCTGTCCAGCCTGCTCGTCTTCCTGCTCATGGTGGCTGTCTACACCCGCATATTCTTCTACGTTCGTCGGCGGGTGCAGCGCATGGCGGAGCATGTCAGCTGCCACCCCCGTTACCGCGAGACCACGCTCAGCCTGGTCAAGACTGTTGTCATCATCCTGGGTGAGTGGGACCCCACTTTCCCCCAACTCCTCCAAGACCTGATGGAGGAGTGTGATGGGAGGAGATGATTTGGGTGGGGAAGGTTCTCCAAGGAGGTGATATCTGAGCAGAGACCTACTTGCTAGAGAAGGGGAAAGAGTTCCTGGCAGAAGGACAGAGAGCCCCAGGCAGCAATCCCAGAGAGGAGAGCAGGTCAGCACAGCCTCAGAGGGCAGAGATAGAAGTCAGATTTTGTTCTGAATTCCTTAAGGGGGTAACATGGTCACTGGCTGTTGCAATGTAGGATGGTCTGGGTCAGGGAGGCAGCAAGAGGCCTTCCCATTAGGATATGCCCGCCCCCCCCCCCCCCCACACACACACACACACACACAAGAACAAGGAGTGACTCTTCCAATGGTCTCCTTCCCCCCACGGGGTAGCTGGCCTGTCCCACAGTGACGTCTTTTCCCCACAGAACAGATCTCCATGTAGAAATGCCCAGGGCTCTGGCCACAGTGCACCAATTCAGAAAGGTGTCCCTTCTGGCAGATAAGTCAGTGTAAAGAGACCCTTCTTAGCAATTCTGCCCCATCACCCTGCCAAGCCAGCAAGACAAGCCTTCCTCGCACTGCAAACCACAGCTGTTGTCCAAGCTCTGGACACCCCTCCAGGCCTGAGCTTGGAGCTGTGGGTCACCTTGGGCTCCATCCCGCAGGGGCGTTCGTGGTTTGTTGGACGCCGGGCCAGGTGGTGCTACTCCTAGACGGCCTGGACTGCAAGTCCTGCAACGTCCTGGCTGTGGAGAAGTATTTCCTACTCTTGGCCGAGGCCAACTCCCTGGTCAACGCTGTGGTGTACTCCTGCCGCGATGCTGAGATGCGCCGCACCTTCCGCCGCCTCCTCTGCTGTCAGTGCCTCCGCCGGTCCACCCAGGAGTCTGCCCACTACACATCCTCCACCCGCGCAGGCGCCAGCACTCGCATCATGCTTCCTGAGAATGGCCACCCCCTGATGGATTCCACCCTTTAGCCAACCTTGGACTTCAGCAGGAGGCAGCAAGTGCCCGCTTGCACCCCTGACCACTTGTGGATGTGCCCGGTTCAACCCAATTTGAAGGACAGAATTAAAGGCAGACCCTCGGTCTGGATGCCAGACCTCCGCAGACACACACAACTCTGCCTGCTCCGGGGCCTGGGCGTACGTGGTCATCTCCAGGTGCCCAGGACAGTGTCAGATGGGGTACCGGAACTGGCTCTTCAATCATCTCAGGTTTGGGGGTTTTAACAGACATGTTCCTGTTTCACTGCACATCCCTGGTAAACCCTGTGGACTGCTTCCTTGTCCGTGGTGGTGTGTGTTAAAGGTCGGAGAGATGAGGACTCTCAGGCCATGATGCCCAAAGTCACAAGGACAGATCATGGATGCACCATGTGCTTGAGGCTGATTCTTCAGGGGCAGAGTTTGTGGCCCCGTGAAGTCTCCGGGCTTGCCTGTCCCCGTTAGACTTGAGGGTACCCACAAGGAGGACATATTAAGGAGTAAACTTTTATTTTTCCTCTGTGGTCTGCAAAGCACTTTCCGTCGTCAGCTCAGTCTGTCACTAGGTCCCAGAATTGTCCATCTCCGCAGCCCTGTTCTCGTTCCCCTTCAGTCTCTGGCTGGCTGTTCCTCCATCGCGCTTGGAGACTTAGATCTGTTCCCTCTTGTCTGTCGTCTCCACTTGTTCCCTTGCCTCCATCTTGCCAACTGCCTGTCTTCATCCTCTGAAGCTGAGTAGTTCATGGACCGTGTGAGTCCTCTCTTTCCCGCCTGCCCTTTGTCCCAGTCCAGGTTAACAGTCTTGCGTGTCCATCCCACTGCACACCGCACACCCACAGTCAGGGTAGGGGGGTCCATGGAGCAGGGTGCCAGATTTGAGTGTTGCCACTTCTCAAGCTCGCCTGATGTCTGGCACACTGATAAGCACTTCGGGTGCATTAGTTAACTATCGCCTGCAGGGATTACACTTATTTTCAGGTGAGGACAGTGGCTTTGAGAGCTTGAGATCTGGCCCATGGTTCCACAGCTTTGAAAGGACACAGAGATGCATGCAGGGACTAGAGAGGCCCCTGGGGAAGGAGCTTCTGGTTCCCACAAAGTGTGAAATTGGTCACAAGCTCAGCCTAGCTTTTCCCACCTCACCCCACAGCCCCCCAAAGGCTTCAGACACACCAGACTCCTGATGAGGAGCCCCATCTCAGGTGTTCATAGAAGCACCTGCTAGGCATAGTGTAGACCAGGGTCTGGATGCTCTGCTTCCACCTAAGGAGGAGCTGGGGTTATGTCCCTACTTCAGGTTCACACACAGAATAACAGCCGATTCTGAAAGCAGGCCTCCCATCAGAGGCCCAGTTCTTTTTTTTTTTTTTTTAAGTTTTTTTAAAAATACGTATTTATTGATTTCAGAGAGGAAGGGAGAAGGAGAGAGAGAGAGAAACATCCATGATGAGAGAGAATCATTGATCAGCTGCCTTCTGCACGCCCCCCCACTGGGGGTCAAGCCTGCAACCCAGGCCCATGCCCTTGGCTGGAATCAAACCTGGGACCCTTCAGTCTGCAGGCCGACGCTCTGTCCACTAAGCCAAGCCGGCTAGGGCTGAGGCCCAGTTCTTAAGCTACTAATGTACGCATTGCCAAGGAACCAAAAACATCTAAGTCCGCGGTTCTCAACCTGTGGGTCGCGACCCCTTTGGCGGTCGAACGACCCTTTCACAGGGGTCGCCTAAGACCATCCTGCATATCGGATATTTACATTACAATTCATAACAGTAGTAACATTACAGTTATGAAGTAGCAACGAAAATAATTTTATGGTTGGGTCACAACATGAAGAACTGTATTTAAAGGGCCAGAAGGCTGAGAACCACTGATCTAGGTCCTTCTACATTACATGGGGCTGGGCTTCCCTTTGGGGAAACTCCCAGCCCTAAGGCAGCTTTGTGAGGAGGCAAGAATGAACTGGGGTGCTGGGTACTTCTCCAGGGTCCAAAGTGGGCAGCATGGCTCCTGGGGCCTGCAACTCCAGAGGTGATGACCCAGGAATGCAGCTTCCAGCAGGTGCCTGAGCACCTGCCCATGAAAGATGCCGTTTTCGCCTCCACCGAGCTCTGGGCCTGTTGGGTAGACGTGTCATTTTGGGGGCCGAGGCAGCCGACCAATTCCTAGGACCTCGAAAGACAGCTCTGTGCTTCACCGGCTGAGCATCCTCCAGGTTCTAACTCACAGTCCCTGACTCTCCTTTGGGATTTCGTCCCACCAGTTTGCCCTCTCTTATAGGTGTCTGTTCTCTACCGGGTGACTTCAAGTTTTTGTCCCTGCTGGTCTCTGAAGCTTTCAAACACCCATCCCCTCACCCCACTCTCTAACGGACACCAAAGTTGCCCACTATTTTCAGGCCGCCTGTGCAAGAACTGTGCTAGCCGCTGACCTTCCTCAGCGGGGCTTTCGCTCTCCGTGGCGCCCACGGCCTAGTACTTCCTGTTATTGGGGCCAAATGTCAACTCATCAGGAAGCTTTTGAGGTTGTTCTTACGCTGGCCCACATCACTCATTTCCATTCCCTGCTGTCTCTTATGGGGGGGGGGGGGGGGTCCCTAATCCAATCACGCCAGGTGGTTACTGCATCTCCTCTCCAGCAGCGATGGGAGCCCTGCCCCGAGGGCTGGCAGCCGGGCTGAGCCTGCATCTGGGGTCGGCCCTCAGCGAACAGGCTCCAGGCAGTCCACGAAGTTGCGTAAGTAATCCTTGTCCAGTCTGTTCCTCTTCTCTCGCATGGGGAGCTGCTGTCCTGGGTGCACCGCAGGTTGGTCTCCTGGAAGTACCCTTCGTTACCCATGTGGTAGCGTTTTCTGGGCCTGGAATGCTGCAGAGAAGAGGATGAATGAACAAGAGAGTGGTCACGCTCGAGGCAGACCTTGTAAGGTGAACAGAACTAACTTGTACAGCTGAGACACCCCCTCAGTTCTCACCTCCCAGCACCGTCCCGGTGCCCCTCGGGGAAGGCTGGTGGAGCCTTGAGGGCCGCGGGAGATTCTGAGCAGGAAGGGGTGGCTGGGGGGACCCTGAGGACCACTGGAGCGGGCGGAGCGGGGCTAGAGGAGGATGGGGGGGTGGGGGGGACGCGCCTTTACAACCCCGCGCCCTTCCGGCCGTGGAGCGGGCTGTTGGGGTGCCCGTGGGCGGCGCGCGGCGGCTGGGAGGGTCGGGGCGCGGCGCACGTGCAGCAGCTCTTGGCCGCCGGCCCACGCGAGTGCCCCAGGCTCGGCGCCTCCTCCCCGCGCCCTCCGGGCCGCCGCCAGGCCCCGCCGGCCCCGCGGAGACCCCTGCGGCCGATCACGGCCTCGCCGGGCGAGCCGGGCCCGGAGGAGGCGCGGGGGTGCTGCGCGGCTCGGCTGGGGCCGGAGCCCCCGAAGTCCGGCCCAGGAAGGGGCGGGCCCCGCGGCGGGGTGTCTGGGCGACAGCACGGGGTGCGTGTCTAAGCGGGGAAGCAGGTGTGGGGGGCTTGAGGAGGACGAAAAGGGGTTTATGGGGTTAAAATGTAACGGATTGAAAAGCTTATGGGGCTAACGGGGGCGGGGGGTGGGGGGTTAGGAGATCGTCCCGGGGCGAGAGGGATGGGCTTAAGGGGCGGCCTACGGTGAAAGGGGGGTTAGGGAATTGTGAGGGGGAAGAGGCATGTTGGGGTGCGAGTAGATGGTTAGTGGGATTCATGAAGTGGGGGATTTTGAGTGCAGGTAATGGGGAGTTGTGGAGAATGGACTTGGGAATAAAGGGATGGGTCCCTGAGCAGGTGTGGGAACCATCAGGAAAAAGGGCCACTCGGGGAGCTGGGTGGGAACAAAGGACCCCCCGCTTTTTTATTAATTTTTCAAATATTTATTAGATACTGTGTACAGAGATACTGGCTTCTAGCACAGTCCCAGTTCTCAAGCTCATGGTTTGAGAAAATAAGTGCAAAAAACTTAGTATAGCCCAGCCAGTGTGGCTCAGTGGTTGAGCGTGGATGCATTCACCAAGAGGTCACCTGTTCAAGTCCCAGCTGGGGCACATGCCCAGGTTGTGGGCTCCATTCCCAGTGGGGGGCGTGCAAGAGGCAGCCAATGACCAATGTTTCTCTCCCTCTCCCTTCCTCTCCCTCTAAAATCAATAAAAACATTTAAGAAAAAAACAGTATAAATTGTGAGAAAAGCTGTAAGGAAAGGGGTGGCACGCTGTGGGAGGCCGGGTGGAGCGGGCACGGCACCTTCAGGGGCCCTGAGGTGGGAAACGGGGGCAGAAAGCGGAATCAGGGACTGAAAGCCCCCAGTTGAGTTTGGAGAGAGGCTGGAACTGATCGCACTAGGCCTGCACGTCTCAGAGTTGGGGTTCTGTTTCAGTTGTGAGGGGGAAATCACAGCAATTACAAGACCACTGTCCCACTACCCCACCTGCCAGCCAGCCAGCGTTGGTAAAGCCTCCTTCACAAGGCAGTTCATTGTGTTTGGGTTCTGCCCGAATTATTAGAAATGGGAAAGGACCGAAGTCCTTCGGGAGGATGAGGTCTTAAATGAGAACCTGTTTGGGGGAGAAGGATGGGCCCCCGGGGAGAGAACCAAGGTCTGGTGGTGTGGACCCAGTCAGTCACTGGAGCCTTCTATGGAAGAGGGTTTACAAAGCCAGCTGACAGCAGCCCTGGGCAGTTTCATATCCTCTATCTGGAAAGTTAGGGGTGTTACCCACCACCACTACCACCGCCACCGTGCTTATTCCACTTGTTGACGCATTGTGCGAGGTGCTAGAGAAACCAAGACAGCTAAGATATTCTCTGCCCTCTTGGAGTTCACTGAAAAGCAGAGTATGTGGGAGACTAATTTATAAATAGTTTTCATATCCACGATAATGCTGAGTAGACGTAATTCCTGGCGCAAAAGACTGGGCTGGGAGAGGGTGCCTTTGTGTGATGCCGTATTTGCTAGACTAGTCTGAGAGCAGGGACCTGGTTGTACTTTCCTTTGTATTCCCAGGGCCTGGCACCCAGTATGCATAGCGTTTTGTGGCTCTTAGATTCTGGAAGGATGAGCAGGAGCTGGGGGGCTGGGGGGGGGGGCTCTTCACGGGCAGGAACCACTGAGGCAGTGCTCGGCGTGTTTGTGGCGCTACCCGTGCTCCTTTGCTTCTAGGTGGAGAGTGGTGTGAGGCGTGAGCTCTGCCCGCGAACTGTCACCCACGACAGCCCCGGGCTGCTGGCTTCTCTCTTGTAGCAGTCTTTCCAGGCTCCCCTAGTTAGGCTCCGGAAGAAAATAAAATGTACTGTCACCTCTTCCTGCTCTTCTTGAAGACAGCTCTTTCTCTCTTCAGGCTCAGGAAATGAATAGTGGGATGTGACACATGCTTGACAACATGACTCTTAGATAACTGGCTCCTGGCTTCTTTCTGTGGCAGAAAGACACCTGGGGCTTCACCTGTGGTTCTCAACCTTCCTAACGCCGCGACCCTTTCATACAGTTCCTCATGTTGTGGTGACCCCCAGCCATAAAATCATTT